TGCCATCCCCCCACACCCTCCTAGAGTTGTGAGGTCACAATTCCAAGTGAATTTTAACTCGCTTATGGGTTAAAAATAGAGAAGAAAGATGCCTTTGAGCAGTGGCTGAACTTTATTCAGGTTGGGTAATTAGCGAAAAGTAGAATTCAGCAGAAGTTCACAGTTAAATCTGGGCAAAGTTACCTGTTGAATAGATTGTTTTATTGTAACAAACCATAAAGATGACTGATTTTGCAGTCTGATTTGATAAACATGTAATTTTTGCTGTCTTTTGCCCTGTTTATCCCCCAGAGCAGTAGTTTGGCGTTTCCATTAGGTTTTAGCCTAATTTCTTGGACGCCAGGAGTAAAGGAACAGGGAGCAGTAGGATAAAATGTTTTCCCCCATTATCAAAAAGTAGTCTTTTTATTTTTTTGATTTGAGGGGGAGCACACACACATGCAGGTGAGTGGGGGAGGGTCAGAGAGAGAAGGAGAGAGAGAATCTTTTTTTAATTTTTTTTTTTTCAACGTTTATTTATTTTTGGGACAGAGAGAGACAGAGCATGAACGGGGGAGGAGCAGAGAGAGAGGGAGACACAGAATCGGAAACAGGCTCCAGGCTCTGAGCCATCAGCCCAGAGCCTGATGCGGGGCTCGAACTCACGGACCGCGAGATCGTGACCTGGCTGAAGTTGGACGCTTAACCGACTGCGCCACCCAGGCGCCCCAAGAGAGAGAGAATCTTAAGCAGGCTCCATGCCCAGCTCTATCTCAGGACAACTATGGGCTCGAGTCTGATGCTTAACTGCCTGAGCCACCCAGGTGCCCCAATAAGTAGTCTTTTTAGATAAGCCTTTAGCTCTTGGATGAGAAGGCTTTAATTAGAGATACTAAGGACTATTAATGCAGTTTCTCAGTATCATATTCTCTAAAGATGCATATACATGGGGGGTACCTGGGTGGCTGTGTTGGTTAAGTGTCTGACTCTTGATTTTGGCTTAGGTCATAATTCAACGTGTGTGAGATTGAGCCCCACATCAGGCTCTTTGCTGACAGTGTGGAGCCTGCTTAGGATTCTCTCCTCCACCCCCACCCCACCCCACCCCACTCCTGCTTCACACCTCTCTCAAGACCACAATGGCAGATTCAAATTTTTGAACTACAGCGTGAATCAGTTTCTACTGGGCTAGTCAACTTTTTTTTTTTGGGGGGGGGGTTCTTTTTGAAGGTGGGGGGGTTGCAGGGAAGGGAAAGCAGGAGAGAGAATTGGCAAAGAAGTGTAGTGGGAGGCAGTGGATTGTGGTTGTTGAAACTGGGCTGGAAGTGATGGCTGTAGACCACTTCACCTTACCCCAGAGCCCCCTGAGTAAAAATAAATCCTTTGTCCAGCACTTTATCTTCTCTCCTCCTATCCCTACCTTTCAGTGGTCTTAAGCATAAACAGGGACAAGTAGCACAAACCCAGCTGAGGTTTTCTTACCTGTGCAGACCTGCCCTAAGGTAGAGGTAGTCCTTTATCAGATGCCACCTAGGAAAGCAGAGTGTGACATCACAACTCTAATGTAACTGCTGGCAGTCTTCTGACTGGGGTGGGGGTGGGGGTAGGGGTGGGGTGGGAGGGCAGATGAAAGTACTTTTGAGTTTTCCCAGTGGGCACAAGGGTTTTGTTCCTCGATTAGAGATAGTCTGGAAATGCTAGCACTGGTGCGAATGCCCCAGGAGAGTTTGAACACCTTTCTGGGCTTACTGTGATACCGTAGTCGCCCTGCTTAGGGAGCAGGCCAGCTGGCGGTGGGAACGCTGGCTGAGCGCACAGAGAGGCTTTGCCAAGGAGATCTTTTTTACTTTCTCTGTAATGTGTGCAGCTCATTTGGCCTGAGCTCTAGATTACTACTTGATTCTGTTTAGAAGTCAGAACTTGAATTTTGAGGCCTCTTCAGGAGGTAGTGCTAGTGTTGATATCTGGCTCTCCTTGGGCTTCTGGAAGTGTCAACGGTAAACTTATATTGGGATTTGCTTTTTAGAAAAAGCCAGGTGGTAATCAGAATATGTGGGTGGTGTGAAGTTTTAAAAGAAAAGGCCTGTGCCCAGCTGCCAGCTTCCAGAGAAGTACCTTATACTGCACATCCCTTCTTTCTAGAATGGGTTGTGGAAGGGAATTGTTTCCGTCCTGTTTCATCACAACTTTCATGATTTTGCCACATTCCCTGCCTTCCCTGACGTAGCAGAATCTGATTCTTGACTTAAGTGAAAACTGGTCAAGGGGCTTGAAGACCTCCTTAGTACAGAGAGCAGTCTTTTGGAAGGGATGGCAGATAGAGCCTTGAACTCTTAAAGGGTCACAAATCAGGGCTGTACTCTTAGCAGCCTCGATAATGAGTTTTCTCGAGTTGCTGGGTGGTTCTTGTTGGGGACGTCATCATGGAGGGCCCCAAGCTCTGGTATCTTCTTCTTCCTTCACCCCCTCCTGCCCAAACGAAAAATTGATTTCCTAGGGTCTTTTTTTCTTTTTTTAAAAGTAATCTCTATACCCAACGTGGAGCCTGAACTCACAACCCTGAGATCAAGAGCCACATGCTCCACTGACTGAACCAGCCAGGTGCCCTGACTCTCTTGCGTCTTTACAGAATTCACCTATTATTTTTGCTCCTTTGTTCACTGTCAGTAAATCCATTGATGTGTCTTTGCTGCAGTTGAGCAGTTTAGCTGGTTTAATTATCTCCTGTTCTTCCTATTGGAAATCCAGAGTTGTGGTTTGAGGTGCAATATGTTATGGTCAACTCTTAGGATCCACAGCCCCCCCCCCCCCTTCATCTCTTCCTGGTTGTAGGCATCAAGATTTAGTAGGTATGTCAGAGATTGCGGTGATCATGCTAGATTGGTTCTTTCCAGAAAGTACAGGGTAAGAGTGTATCTGAAGGACAGCTTAGTGAATGTGTCCTCTGTAGCTCTGTCATCACAGTACTGCTGCTGTCCAGATGGAGTACAAGGTGTGGAGGTGGAAGTGTGCTTGGCTCATTGGAGGAGCTGCAAGGAGACCGCTGTGGCCGAAAGTGGAATCAGAAAGAAAGAGGGGCAGGGGAGGTTAGAAGATGAGGTCAGAGAAGGAGTAGTAACAGATCATGGAAGGCCTTATGGACCTGGTAGGATTTTGAATTTTATTCTATGTGAGATGGGAAATCATTGGAGATTTTTGAGCTGATAAGTTTTCTAATTAAACAAATAAATGACTCTGGCTGCTGTGTGGAGAGTAGATTGGGTGATAGGGGCAAGGGTGGAACAGAGAAACCATTTAGAAGGCTATTGTAGTAATCCAGGTGAGAGATGATGAGATGACAGGTGACAAGTGGAATTACCACCTGTTTCCAGGAAAGCCTGGGAGACCTAATTGAGAAAACATCACTAAAGCCCCTCATACAGCCCATTTCATAATATTAGGCTCCAGTATTTGTTAATTCCCTTCCTTTCCTTGGATTTTGCCTTCTCCTACATTAGGACCATAGGGGAGAGGTTATTAAACAGAGAACAGCATTCACAAGAGAAGGGATTGTAAACTGTACCTCAGTCATTTGACCCCGACAGAAGCCTTTTTATTTCTTGAGGCGCTGCAGTTGGTGTCCTGTGTACATTCTGTTATCCCACCCACCGGAGACCTGAAAAGGCTGAATCTGTGCCAGAACTCTTGGACAGCTCTATTCTCATTGAAGCGTTCGATCTTCAGTTTTTTCCGCAGTTGCTATCTTAGACACAGTTTGAGCAGCCCCTTTTACAAAGTGTCTTTTTAGGTACCTGGCCTTGCAAGCTGGAGTCTCAGATACTCCTCGTGACAGGTAGTTTCACATAGCTGAGAGGGCCCTTCAGAGAGAAAGAAAGCGGGTTTGCGGTCTTTGTTTAACACTTGAGCTTTCCCCCCACTCCGCTTTTGTTGGGATTAAAGCTTTAACATAGCCACCTTGATTTCTGGGTTTTGCAGCTTGGGAAAGGAATTTCATGTATTCTAGCATAAGATATTTATTTGAAAAAGCTTGGTCCTTGGTACACAGGGAGCTTGCATTGCTCTTCCCTACAGAAGGCCACATCAGGTCTATTCTCTTGGGCAGGTCTTGTTGGTAGACACCACAGATGAAACCATGCCATCTTGACATAACGTCAGGATTACCTGCCTAGAGAGGGTTGCCGGCAGCCTGCTACCTCACTGATTTACTCTGGGAACAATGCAAATTTTTTTTCTTTTCTGGGGTCCAGGGAGACTAATTGTGTGGTAGACAATAGGAAAGGTAAATCCTCAGAAACTTACAAACAGAATTTGCTTTAACAGTAGTTAATTGTGTCTCCTAGGATGCTTTGCCCCTTCTTCCTAATAAAAGTAAGCTCAGATTTCTGCCATAGCCAGTTGGACTTTGGGTGTCTCTGCAACTCGTATACTGTACTGCCTCTGGAAATGTCTGACTGCCCCTGCCCCAACCAGGCCTGTAAATAGACTGAGCCAGGCCCTATTAGGGCCAGCTCTCTTCAGGAACTCTGTTCTATTTTCAGGGAGAAGTCATTTTTCCTTTCACCTCCGTTAGAATCTGCCCTAGCCTTTCTGCTCCTGCCTTAGGAGCTGGGACACAGAGGAGAGCTAGAATGTCCTGTATCTAGCTAGCAACCCCATGGACCTATCCAAAAGCAGCAGGGAGAGGCCATCTACAGGAAATGCAAATGCCAAGAGTGCATGTAAAGCTTATGAACCGTAAAAGACTTTACCAGTACACCTTATTCTCCAGTTATTTGTGTGGTTAGGTATTTCCAGGTTTTATTTCCCCTCGTGGCCCATGTTTCTGTGCTGACTGAAACAGAATTTTAGCCATAGTAACAGGGGCAAATTGTTGCTGTGGATATATTTTCAACCAACATCCTGCTAATTAAATTGCTTATCTATCTAAACTTGGGCCTCTGCTGCTCATATCCAGTGTCCCTGGTATCTTCCTTGAGTGAGTTGCCTTATATTCCATGACCTTGTTTTTGTGTTCATTGCAGTGTGAGTGACTGCCTCATGTTGTGTTGATGCCAGTCTGCCATGCTAGCCTGTCTACCAGGGCCAGGTGACCTGTCCTTTCAGCTTCTTCCTCACACGCAGATGAACACTGGACTTCAGAAATGTAAGTAATCTGGATCCCGGAGTAGGATGTAATCCTTATTTTGTCCCTACATTTGAGTAATCCCAGGGGAACATCAGGGGTATGTTGACTGTGAACTTTGGTACTTCCAAGATATTCTTCACAGACAGCAAGAAAGCAGCTACAAAACTTGTCCACAACGTGAACGCTTTTATAATCAGAGAGATCCTCTTAAATACTACATTTCCCCAGTGTCTGTCATCTTAATTGTAATTGTTGCTGCTAACTATCTGTTGAGCACCAAAGCTGTAAGGGGTTTTACAGGGATAGATATAGATATATAGATATATAGATATATAGATATATAGATATATAGATATATATCACCTTTCAAAGGTGTTTCAGTTTGAACCCCCATGAGCAATTGAATGAAAACTCACAGTCTTGATTACTTACTGTATCTTAGAAATAAACTATTGACCCTTTTCTGTTATTTTGGACTCTTAGCATTCTCTACTATGGAAACAGCTCCCTTTGGCTTTGCTGTCTGCTGAGCCAGTGACCTCAGTTTACAAGTAAAGAAGCTTTCACCTACAGAAGGGATAGGGAGCTAGCTTTCTCAGTCTCTCTGGGTATACTCCTGCTAATAAACTTGCCCAAAAGATTGAGCTTTTGAGAACTAAAAAAAAGGAATCTAATAAAGTAAATTGTGCCCAACGTGGGGCTTGAACTCATGACCCTAAGATCTGGAGATCAAGGGTCACATGGTCCACTGACTGAGCTAGCCAGGTGCCCCAGATTCCTGTCTTAAACTGGCTGGAATTGGAGCGTTAGGCCTCATATCTTCCCAGTTTCCTGGCTTCTGTCCCTGCACTACAATGATGTGCAAGGAAAAGATTCTATTCCTAGCTCATTACCATGTACAGTGTCTTCAAGTATAAAAATGGCCCTAAATTTGGGATAGACCTTCCTTTCAGAGCAAAAGGGGAAATCACTGAGGCGTTTAGGCTTACCCTTTAATAGAAAAGGTGCTTCAGCACTTTACCCAAATCCTTTATGGCAGGGGTTGGTAAACTTCTTCCGTAAAGGGCCAGATAAGCAAGTATTTTAGGCTTTGGGGTCCCTGTTGCATCTACTGTTGCAGGGCAAAGGCAGCTATAGACAACACGTAAACAAATGAGTGTGGCTGTGTCCTGATGAAACTTTTTACAAAAACACAGCAGCTATATTTCATATTTTGGCCCACAGGCAGTAGTTTGCTGAACCCTGCTCGGGAAGATCATCTTCAGAAGTTAAAAATGGTCTAGCCTCTTGACTTCATTTCTTTGAAGGAGAGTAAGACCCAGAGCCTGATGAATTCTGGGATTTGGCCAACGATTCCAATTCCTGTAATGACAAGCTAAAACTAACAGTCTTCCTCCTGTAGCTGCCTGACCCAGTAGGCAAGCTGTGCTATGTTGTACCAGCTTTCCTCCCCATCTTTCTCTCAATAAATGCTATTTGGGTGATAAAGTTGTCTGTGTTCCCTGGCCACTGAAATCTGCATGCTAACTGCATTTTGATTGGTTCTGGGGTTCCAGGGACACAACTGGATAAGGGAGTTTACTTAGAAGCATGACAGAGTAGTTCGCTGACCTTGCTTCTAAGTTCCTTCGTGTACTCAAACAGCTTTACCCACAGATGGAGTATCAAGGGTGAGCCATTTGTGAAGAAAGGCAAATAGGCAGCTTTATCTTGGGTGCTGACTTCGGATCTACACTCCTTCCCAAAGCAGCCTCAAAGTATCTGCCAACCACTGTCCTCAAATTTGTATTCAAGAATTGCAATGACCTTCCCTGGTTTCAGGCTTGTCTGGGGAATAGCGTATTGGAATCCCTTTGTCTCACTTGATTACTATCCTTAACTACACACAAGCCTTTGCAGAGAAGAAAACCTGTTTTAAGCTGACTTGCTTTCTTTTCACCTCTCCCAAAATGTAGAAGAAAACAAATTCTGCCATATGACTTAGAGCCGTTAGCATTGAGCATTTAAGGTGAGATGGAGCATAAACTCTACCCTTTTGGAGCTGGCACCAAGACCCACTCAAAGCCCAGGCTTCTTAGCATAGAGACCTGAGAACCAGTTTTGTAGTTGTGCTCTTCTTTCCCTGCCCCTCATCCTCAGGAGGGTCTTACAAGTTGTTAGAAACACAGAGCTTGGTATTGGGTGGGGAGGGCGCGGGGATGGGGCACAGATGTTTATAGATTATTGTGCTTTATATTGTAAGAGCTCAAGGCAGGAGAGACGGGACATGTGGCTTCTTGGCCAGCTCTGTAAGTCACCTGGCCAATTGCCTTCCTCAGGCTAAACCCGCCACATGTATAGAATCACAGAATTGGTCCCTTCCGACTCCAACATTTTCTCACCTCCCCTTCCTTTTCTGTGTGTGTAGGAGAATGTAACGCATTTCCCATCCTGCCATGGGGTAGTCTGGATTAAGGAACATCTTGGCTTTGGTGGTTCTTGCATTTGATACAGGACCACAGTTGGGGTTAGGTAGATACCCTTCTAGAGCTTTTCTAGGTTTTATATTCCATGCTGTCACTTGCTTTGAGAGTTCTCAGCTGTTTTGGAACTTTACTTGGCAAAATTTCCTCTGACCCATCTTTTCCCAATTCACCAGAAAATGTGTTTTTTGGACCCCCCCCATTAACCCCAAGCCTCTGCTTCTCCTTCCCCAGCTCACTATCAGGTATATCGTAATATTTCTGGTTGAATGGCTGAAATGACCAAAGGTTCTTGGTCCTCAAATAATCTTTTAGACAACAACTTTGACCTCCTTCATTGTAGAGTATCAGGGCCTGAGACAAACATCAGGATCACCCACTTTCACTACTACTTTCTGTGCCTGTCCGCCCCCTAGTGGAAGGTCCTGGAAATGGTGCATTGACCCAGTAACTGGATAAACCCATAGAAATCTCAGAAATTAGTTAATATTTGTTGAGTGCTTATTGTATGCCAGGCAGTATTTTGAGCATTGTTATCTTTGTTCTCATTCGTTCCTCAATGATTCCATATGAGAGACTCTCATCTTTCTTTTGAGGAGAAGGATAGAGTAGCACTTGCCAGTGTTACATTACTGTTCAACTCGGTAGAAGTCATACTCGGGTCAGACTCCAAAGCCAGTGTTTGAAACACACTGCCTGGGCATCTCCCACCTATTGATAGTTTCCTGCCGCATATGGTACTTGCATCTTCTGACCTTCAAAATAGAATAAACAGGGAGGCCCCTGTGGGGAAGCTGGGATTCAGGGAGATTGCCCACTCTCCCCCAATCCCTGGCATAGACAGCAGTGCTTTCTGCTGCATTTAACTCCCAGACTCAAGACCAGCGGGCTTTCTTGGTCAGGTTACTTTTTCTTGTCTATGCACACACTCAACCAAACCTACTATCTTTGAATAATAACTTTCAATAGTCATGGTTCCTGTTTTCAGACCTTTTTCCTATTCATTGAATCTCTTGATCTTAGTGGTTCTATGAGGTACACCAGCAGGTATCATCCCTGTTTATAAATGAAGAGTGACTGGGGCGCCTGGGTGCCTCAGTCAGTTAAGCATCTGACTTTGGCTCAAGCCATGATCTCGTGGTTCGTGAGTTTGAGCCCTGCATTGGGCTCTGTGCGGACAGCTCAGAGCCTGGAGCCTGCTTCCGATTCTGTGTCTCCCTCTCTCTCTGCCGCCCTTCCCCTGCTGTTTCTCTCTCTCTCTCTCAAAAATAGATGAACATTTAAAAAAAAAAATCTTCAGAAATAGGGGTGCCTGGGTGGCTCAGTCAGTTAAGCGTCCGACTTCGGTCATGATCTCATCGTTCGTGATTTCGAGCCCTGCGTCAGGCTCTGTGCTGACAGCTTGGAGCCTGGAGCCTGCTTCGGATTCTGTGTCTCCCCTTCTCTCTGCCCCTCCCCAGCTCATGCTTACATTCTATCTCTGTCAAAAATAAATACTTAATAAAAAAAATTTTTTTTAATCTTCAGAAATAAAAATAAGAGATTATGAGCAATTATATGCCTATAAAATGGGTGATCTAGAAGAAATGGACAGATTCCTAGAAACATATACACTACCAAAACTGAAACAGGAAGAAATAGAAAATTTGAACAGACCCTTAACCAGTCAAGAAATCGAATTAGTAATCAAAAAATCTCCCAAAAAAACAAGAGTCCAGGGCCAGATGGCTTTCCAGGGAATTCTACTGAACATTTAAGGAAGAGTTAACACCTAGTCTCTTGAAGCTGTTCCAAAAAATAGAAATGGAAGGAAAACTTCCAAACTCTTTCTGTGAAGCCAACATTACCTTGATTCCAAAACCAGACAGAGACCCCCCCTAAAAAGGGGAACTATAGACCAGTTTCCCTGATGAACATGGATGCAAAAATCCTCAACAATATATTAGCCAACTGGATCCAACAATACATTAAAAAAATTATTTACCACGACCAAGTGGGATTTATACCTGGGATACAGGGTTGGTTCAATATCTGCAAAACAATTAATGTGATTCATCACATCAATAAAAGAAAGGACAAGAACCATATGATCCTCTTAATAGATGCAGAGAAAGCATTTGACAAAATACAGCATCCTTTCTTGATAAAAACCCTCAAAAAAGTAGGGATAGAAGGATCATACCTTGAGATCATTAAAAGCCATGTACAAAAGACCCAACACTAATATTCTCAATGGGGAAAAACTGAGAGCTTTCCCCCTAACATCAGGAGCAAGACAGGGATGTCCACTCTTGCCACTGTTATTCAACATAGTATTGGAAGTCTTACCCTCTGCAATCAGGCAACACAAAGAACTAAAAGGCATCCAAGTCAGCCAGGAGGAGGTCAAACTTTCACTCTTCACAGATGACATGATACTCTATGTGGAAAACCCAAAAGATTCACCAAAAAACTGCTAGAACTGATCCATGAATTCAGCAAAGTTGCAGGATATAAAATCAATGCACAGAAATTGGTTGCATTCCTATACACCAACAATGAAGCAATAGAGAAATC